ACACCTGTAACCTTAGCTATTCAAGTGTCTGAGATTTGAGGAGCGAGGTTAAAAGCTAGCCTGGGCTGGAAGTTCATGAAATTCTTATTTCCCATTAACCAGCAAAAAGCTGGAAGTGGAGTTCTGGCTCAGATAGTAGAGCACTAGTCCTGAGTGAAGAAAAACAACAACAAAGTGAGAGTATGGAGCCCCAAGTTCAAGAAGGCCCAGTACACCCCCAACCTCCTCCTCCCCCCCAAAAAACAAGCCTCTCAGAACATGGATCTTCTGGCAAGCTTCTTAGAGTAAGTCACTCAATTAGCGCCTCTAATTAGGTATGGCTAGAACTAATGCAGGGCTGTGGACAGGTAGAACATGCTAGAAAAAGAACGGTGAGGGGATTTCTATGAGTCTGAACTTCAGATGAATTTGACTGAGCCCCAAGAACCCTGGGGAAGGCCCCTGCCAATGGTCAAAACCTTCCTCAATGAAGTCTCTAGCAGTATCTGGCCTGAAAAAGATGACATGTCTGTTTTCTCTCAGATTTCAGGCCCTAACCCTCACATGGTGGCTGGGTTGTAACGAAGCACTCGAGGACTTTTAGGTTGACTCAGTGAAATGCCGACGTGAACCAGTCTCCTGCTCTTAGAAGATTGATTAGCGGGAGGCTGCCTGTCTTTCACTGTGTTTGGCTTCATTTGAATCTTTGCCTCACAGGTTAATGAGCTTCAGTTGGAGTTTAATTGATAGCCATAAGAAGAGGAAGTCTGGGAGCTGGGAAGGTGGCTCAGTGGTAGAGCGCTTGCCTTGAGCTGAAGAGCTGAGGGACAGCACCCAGGCCCAGAGTTCAGGCCCCACGACCGGACCCCAAAAAAAAAAAAAAAGAAGAGGAAGTCCATTTTGGGATATAAGGTTAGTGCACTGGCTCTAGTATTGTACAATGAAACACAGCCCAGATGTTGCCTGTATAATATTATTATCTTTGGGCTGAAAAAAATTGTCCCAGAAAGATTTGAGTCTCTCTTCTTTTCTTTCCCTTCCTTCCTTCCTTCCTTCCTTCCTTCCTTCCTTCCTTCCTTCCTTCTTTCTTTCTTTCTTTCTTTCTTTCTTTCCTTCCTTCCTGTCTTCCTGCCTTCTTTCCTTCCTTCCTGCCTTCCTTCCTTCCTTCCTTCCTGCCTTCCTTTCTTCGTGCCTTTCTTTCTTTCTTCCTTCCTTCCTTCCTTCCTTTCTTTCTTCTTTCTTTCTTTCTTTCTTTCTTTCTTTCTTTCTTTCTTTCTTTCTTTCTTTCTTTCTTTCTTTCTTTCTTTCTTTCTTTCTTTCTTTCTCTTTCTACCTCCTTCCCTCCCTCTTCCCCCCTCCCTCCTTCCTTCCCTTCCCTCCCTCCCTTCCTTCCTTCCTTCCTTCGTGCCTTTCTTTCTTTCTTTCTTTTCTCCCTCCTTCCCTCCCTCCTCCCCCCTCCCTCCCTCCTTCCCTTCCCTTCCTTCCTTCCCTTTCCTTCCTTCCTTCCTTCCTTCCTTCCTTCTTTCTTTCCAGAGGATTACTGTTTGGAGGGTCCATATGTGTTTAGGGTCCACATGTCAAGGCCAGGGGTTTTTGTGGGGTAATAATTAGGAAAAGGGTTAAAAGAGTAGATGACTTGAGTTCAAACAATGAAGCTCTAGTTACACTCGAGTCTTCTGTGAAATTTATCTTCTCACACAAAAATTGTTATTAATACTTGCATTCATATTTAACAAGCATGTGCTGTCAATAGACCAACTCATTTTCTATGAAAGGCATTGTACGCTTGAATAGATGGCATATATTAAAATATATCTTGTGATGATTTATAACAAAACTTAATAAAAAAAATTTAAGGCCAGCTGTCATAGGGCCACTGATTATCCCAGCTACTTGGGAGGTGGAGTTAGAAGGATTGCTGTTTGATGTCAGCATAGGCAAAAATGTTAGTAAGACCCTATCTCAAATAATAAACTAGGCATAGTGACATAGGTCTGAAATTCAAGCTAGGGAGGTAGGAGGTAGGAGGACTATGATCTGAGGCTAGGTCCAAGCAAAAATGAGAAACACTATTTAAAAATAAATTCAAACTCAAGTAGTCCATAAAGAAATAACTAATACATTTGAGTGATCATATTTGCAAAGCAGTTCTATCTTCAGCAAATATAAGATCGGAATATATGGCAACTTCGAGGTAAGAGTACCTGCTTATAGTTCATTTCCTCCCCATTGAGATATAGAAAGTTGTCATTATTTACTTCAACAATTTAATTGCAAAGGATAAACAGATGTTTAGTATTTTTTTACAAGTATGGCTCCAACAGGCTTTTTACTTTGCCTGTCAGTAAAATTCACTAGCAAGTAGTAATTTTGAATTTTTTCCTGACATACAACTCCTATTAAATAAAAACGAGTGCAGAATGAGGGCATATTTAACATCATTTCAGGAAATGCTGACCTAAGACTCCACTTTCATAAAGAAGACATTATCTTTATTGCTAAAGATATTTTATCTTTGCTTTTCAGGCTTTGTAGATTGCTAATGCTTTCCTTTAACGGGCTGAAATTCTCATTTGTTGAATGTTTCAAAAGCACATAAGAGTACTTCTGTAGTTAACGTTGTAGGCAGGTTTAAAAATCCTCTATATCATGTGGAATTGACACAGAAAAATAAACCAGACTATTTTTATGGACATGGAAACATCCTGACTTTCCATACTTATGTGTAACTTCAGGAAAGATTTCTAAGCAATTCCTTTGCTGTTCTCGTGGTATCTTTCTTATTTGATCAGTAACTTAAGTCACAATTGTGATAAGTAAAAAGTTACTAAAGTAATAAGTATCCGGTGATGAGAGAATTTGTGGTCTTTTCTGAAGTTATTTATCCATATCATGAAGCTGACTCCTCTGGTTCAACTCGATCTAGGGTTACAAAATAGCAACTCATTTAAATAAAAAATTGTAGCTGAAAATCCTAGGTCATTTTAATCAGTAGCCCCCAGTTGACGGAGTATAAATTTTGTTGTCTGAAGGTCTGAGTTTGAGCCCCAAGTTGCGTTTCTTAACTGTCCTTGCTTGGGAACATGATTTAAACTTTCCAAGTTCATTTCCTGCATGGATAGAGGTGATATGCCTGGGAGAGATTTCCTGTGTAAATAATAATGGGATTGCTGTCCCCGGATTCCTGGGGGTGGGGGCATGAGAGGCGGAGCCAGAAATGCTCTGTGGCAAAGTGAGGGGTTCACCCATGGTGAACCCAGACACAGTGTTTGGCCTTCAAGTGAGGTAAGCTTCTGAGAAAAAGGCCGTTCAACACGTGCACAGGACAAGTTTGAACCATTCTTTTGTATTGTCAGTCCTGGGGCTTGAGTTCAAAGTTTCTGATGGCCACTTCTCAGCAAGGCCTCCTAAAGCCTTTTTTTTTTTTTTGCCTGACCACCAAGGGGGCTGAGACGATTTCCTTCCTTCTCTCCATTCATTTCTCACTTTCCATTTGCTTCAAGTAGGTACAAGTGCAGTTCCTATTTTCTGCAGGTCTGTGCCTTTGCTTCTGTGTCCTGCCGTGATCTGCTTCCTATTGGATTGATTGAAAATAAGAAATCATAGGGCTATAATTTTTTTTTTTTTTGGGTCCGGTCGTGGGGCTGAACTCTGGGCCTGGGCGCTGTCCCTCAGCTCTTCAGCTCAAGGCCAGCGCTCTACCACTTGAGCCACAGCACCACTTCCAGCTTTTTTCTTTTTGCTTATGAGGTACTGAGGAATCAAACTCAGGGCCTCAGGCACTGAGCCACCTTCCCAGCCCAGTGCTATAATTTTTAAAATTAGATTTTATTGTTATTATTCAGGTGTTTCTTGTCCAGAGGGGTTATCATTTTATAAGGCAGATAATGAGTACATTTCTTTTTTTGGACAATGCCACCCCTTTCCCATTTTCCCTTTCCTATCTGCGCCCACAAGATACATGGTTCATTGTTCACATAGTATATACAGAATAGAATGATGGCATTTGTTCACCCTCTCTCCTCCCTCCCTTTCTGCATCACCCCTCCTTTGCTCCTCCTTAAAAAAAAAGAAACTCAAAGCAAAGGCAAACTCCAACCTGGATGATGGTGGTTCATGTTGCCTATCATCCTAGCTACTCAGGAGGCTGAGATCTGAAGATCGCTGTTCAAAGTCAGCCCAGGCAGAGAAGTCGGTGAGACTCCTATCTCCAATAAGCTACTTAGCAAAAGCTGGAAGCAGTGCTGTGGCTCAGGTGGTAGAGCCCTAGCTTTGAACACAAAGAGGCTCAGGGACAACGCCCAAGCACTGAGATCAAGCCCCAAGACCAGCAAAAAACCAAAAATTCCTTTTTTTCCCCTACATTTGTGATATGGTATTTTTCCCCCATATGATAAATTGGGAAGTTTCTTGTCAAGTGAGCTATTTGCTTTTGTTGCTGTTTCTGTTGTTGTTTGTGCGTTTGTGTATTTGATGCTGTGTTGTTGTATGTTTGGTGGGATTGAGCAGCTTCCTTGGGAAAGATCCATTCTCCACCAAGCTTTTTCCCCTTGTCTATGGCTCATATTCTAGTGCTCACTCATGAAAGAGGAAATGCTTACATCTTTTCTTCACTGTGCCTAGAAATTTTCCTATTCCAAGGCCTTGTCTGGTCTCCTGGAGGCCTGTCTTCTCCTTTGAGTCCAGATTTGCACTGTGGGCTCACCTGCCTTCTTTTGTAGGTGTTTGGGACAGTCGTTTATTCTGTAAGGGTCAAATCAGAATCTCGTTGTGCCCACTGTGGCCGCAGTAGGCTTTCACTGGGGCAGTTTCTTGATTGGTTTACAATGACTAATTTCATTCTTCTCCTCAGACTATGATCCACCACCAAAGAGCAAAGTCCAACATGTCCCTATTGCAGGCATATGCCCTTCATGCTTGTTCAAGGTCAGAGATGCCTATAGCACACCTTGTGAGTTTTGCTTAGAAATGCCGGCTGGATGACTCTGGTTTTCTCCTGTTTCCAGTAGGGTCAGACTACCATGGTGCCTGCACTGCTGATTCTTTTGGGGGCTGCAGTGATATTGCAAGTGGACTTGGTTCCTGACAGAAAGTGTAAGGACGTTCCAGTCAATTCAGTCTCCTCTCCTCTCCCTTTTCCTTTCTTCTCCCCTTTCCTATCCCTTCTTCTCCCTTCCTTTCCCTCCTTCCCTCCGGTCTCCCCTCCCTTCTCTTCCCTCCTCTCTTCCCCTCTCCCCATTCCCTCCCCTCTTTTCCCCACCATCCCCTCTCCTCCCTACCCTTTCTCCTTCCCCTCCCCTCCCTTCTCCTTTCCCCTTTTCTCTCCTATCATCTTCTTTTCCCTCTCTCCTCCCCTTCCTCTCCTCTCCCCTTCCCTTTTGTACAATATAAAAAAAAAATTTCTCCAAACTAAATTCACAGCAGGATTCTTTTTTCCCCCTCCCATTCTGGGGCTTGAACTCAGGACTTGGGCACTGTCCCTGAGCCTCTTTGTGCTCAAAGCTAGCACTCTACCACTTGAGCCACAGACTGCTTTCAGCCCTTTCTGAGATGTTTATTGGAGATAAAAGTCTCACGGACTTTCTTGCATGGGTTGGCTTTGAACCGCAACCCTCAGATTCCAGCCTCTTGAGTAGCTAGGATTATAGGCGTGAGCCACTGGCACCCGATACAGCTCAGAAATTTTTATAAAATAAAATATTTATCTTTATCAGAATACAAACTCTTAGCTGGGCACCTGTGGCTCGCTCCTATAATCTAAGCTACTCAAGAGGCTGAGACTTGCAGGGTCCTGTTTCAAAAGCAGCTTGACAAGAAAGATCCACAAGATTCCATCTCCAATAAACCAGCAGAACACTGGCTGGAGTGTGGCAAAAAAGAAAAAGAAAAAATATAAACTCTTTAGATAGTAGATATTTTGTATATATGCATGCATATATATACATGTGTGTGTATATGTGTGTGTGTGTGTGTGTGTGTATTTGTGCCAATACTGGGGCTTGAATTCAGGGCCTCAAGCTCTCACTTGCCCTTTCTGTTCATGGCTGGCACCACTTGAACTACCCCTCCATTTCTGGCTTTTTGGTGTTTAATTGGAGATCAAGAATCTCATGGACCTTCTTCTTGTGTTGGCTTCCAACTGTGATCCTCAGATCTCAACCTCCTGAGTAGCTAGGATTGCAAGCATGAACCACAGGCACCCAGCTCTCATATACTTTTGACTGTGACTCATAAAAAGAAATGCATGCCATTTACATAAAGAAATACATAGGTAACTTTGTGTCATGGAAACAAGACATTCACAAAGCAGTTGCCATTACATCTGATGTATCCTGCTGTTTTCTGTTCCTGTCATGTGGATAGCATGAACGGGCACATCACAATGAATTCCCTGTGTTACAATGAACCCATACTAATAAAAATGCTGCTCAAGACCCAGTAAATTGCTAACCAAACTCATTAATAAATAATGACCCTCAGTTTGAGAACTACAAATACAATGACTTGTGATGTAGTAAATATTCATCTTCAATAAAATAAAAACAAATAAATACTGCAGGCAAAGTTAAGAAAATAAAACCAATTTTAAAAGAGTTCTTCCAAGATTACTTCAGCATTACGTATTCTAACTGCCATAAGAAAATAGTATGTTACACAACAAAATATTGTTAGAATTTTAAGAGGCTTGGGGATGGAGCTTGCTGGTAGAGTACTTGCTGGCAAGTGCAAGACTCTGGACTTGAACCTAGAGTGATAAAGTTAAAGTACTGTTGATGTGCAAAAGGGCATTGTATTGCTTCTTTTTTTTCTTTGAATCATAGTTTTACTTCTTCCACCTGTCAACTTCACCATCAAATTTATGGGTTTGTCTCAAGTTCTTTTGCGTTGGCACCGAAATCCTGACCAGGAGCCATGGAATGTTAATCTAGAATATTATGTGAAAATACACAGCCCACAAGAAGATGACGTGAGTGTGTATTCTAAACGCTTCTTACAAACTTGATCCCCATATCTTTGTGAAATACCAGTACAGGTATCTGTGAATAATTCCATGCTTATTATTTGGTTTAAAGTACAATGCACAACAGAATTACTACATTGTTAAGTACAGGGCATTACACACTGGTTTTATGTTTCTTCTAATATGGCCAAAAGAACAGGAGATAAATAGCCAGGTAAATGGTAGGACAGAGGAAGGTCTGGTGGTAGAGAAAGCAAGCTCAAAGCCAAGTTCATCTACTTCTTGTGTTTGCAACCTGGAGCAACTGCTGGATGTCTTAGATATCCTAACACACCTGCTACACATTAGGTGTGCAGCTAAGCCCGGTGAAGGGAGAGGAAACCTGTATTAACCGTTTCATAGTCAAGGTAGAATTTTAACAAACTTACTGCTGAGCAATTACTGTTGGAGAATGAGACTAATATGAGTGATCAAAATCAAAGGGATCCTGTGCTTTAATTATAATCATCTTTCATTTATTGATATTAGAGGAACATAGTCATGTGTCACTGAGGAATTAGGTTGTAGTCCAACCTTTTTGTATTTGTCATTCATTCTAACAAAACTCACTGGGTCTTATTGATGTGCCATTTCAAACATGGAATCAAAGGCTTGTTGACTAAGAAATAGCTCTTGAAGACCTTGTTCTCTTGTGATGTATCTCATGGCTGTTGGATTTTGTCATTAGTACGAAACCAAGAAGACTGAAAGCAGGTGTGTAATTCCGCTCCATCGTGGCTTCTCGGCAAGCGTGCAGACCATCGCGTGGTACGGGGGCTCGCTCCTGGCCAGCACCTGGGTTTCTGCAGAACTTCAAGCCCCACCAGGTAATGACCACCAGGCACCCAGGATTGTACTTCAGACTTTGCAGAGAAAGCAAAGCCAACAACTTTAGTCAGTTATCTGTGGCTGTATCGTCTACACCTGACCAAGGCGTCCATCTCTTCTTCCTGTCATAGCCCATTCCTTCCAAACACCCTGCTAGAATGCCTATTTATGCAATTTCTGATACATAGAGCTACTGATACTTCTGATAAAATACACACATACATACACACATACAAAGAAAGAAAGAAAGGAAGGAAGGAAGGAAGAAAGGAAGAAAGGAAGAAAGGAAGAAAGGAAGAAAGGAAGAAAGGGAAATATAAAAGAAAATAGAAAAAAAAAGAGAAGATCGGAGTGCCGGGTTTTCGGTGTTGAGGTATGCGAGTGCGCCAGTCACATTTGTCTTCTCATTCCTCTTGTGTTAGTCAGCTTTCTGTTACTGTAACAAACACTGGAGACAATCAACTTACAGAGAGAAAAGGGTTGTCTCTGATTTCTGTCAGTTAAGCCAGCTAGTCCCATTGCTTTTAGGCTGTGTAAGGCAGCCCCTTACAGGGGGAGTATATCGAAGAGCAAAACTGTTCACACACCAGGTGCTGGTGCATCACACCTGTAATCCTAGCTATTCAGGAGGTGGGATCTGAGGATTGAGGTTCAAAGTCAGCCCAGGCAGGAAAGTATATGAGACTCTCCAGTTAACCACTAAAAAATAACGAAAGTAGAGCTGTGGTTCAAAGTAGTAGAGCTCTAGCCTTGAGCAAAGAAAAGCTCAGGGACAGTGCTCAGGCCGTGAGTTCAAGCCCCATGACCAACGCAAGTTAAAAACAAACTTCACTTCATGACTGCAATGCGACAGAAATGAGGAAGTAGCAGCTAGGGTCCCATGGAACTCTGAGAGGCTATGAACCCCGTCAACTCCCCCAGGAGACCCCATGACTCTTAAACATTCTACCAATTCCCTGCAGGCCCACGGCTGGGTAACTCTAGTTTCTTCCCTCTGGTGAAGTTGGCCCTTGGCAAATTCTCAAAAGCAACAAGATGCAGAATCGATCAGAGCAGAATCGATCAGAGCAAGGTTTAGTTCTTGTTGTTTTCACTTAGGGGCTCCTGGGACCTCCGCCGTAAATTTAACTTGCATTACCACCACCACCACCACCACTGCCATGGTGGTAGGTAATTACACGGGTTTAAGGTCGTACCGAGTTTCTCTGCGTTGTGCCTGGCTTGCTGGAGAGGAGGCCCCTGACGACGTACAGTACTTCCTCTATTATAGGTTAGTATCTATTTCCACTTTTGCAAAGAAGTTGGTTTCTTGGGAGACTCACAAGTGTTCCAATTTAGGTATGGCTCCGTGACAGAACAATGCCAAGCCTACAGCAAAGACGCACAGAGCAGAAATACCGCATGCTGGATCCCAAAGACGTTTATCCACAGCAGAGGCCGTGAATGGCTTGCAGTGCACGTGAATGGCTCCAGCAAGCAGACTACCATCCAGCCGTTGGATCAGCTATTTGCTCTACATGCCATTGGTAAGGTGGGTTTCTCCCCAGGTTGAAATGATTGAATCACAGCACTAGAAAAGGTGGGATTGCTTTCCTGAAGATGATTAGCATCTAACCCATAGCTGGACAAGACCTGGACAGGTTTCTTATTTTAGCTTACTGAAATGCTTGGCTGGATAAAGGGGTCCATCATGGACATTGGGAGGGTGTTTCTCAATATGGCTACTATCTATTAGATGTAAGTCATAGCTTCCACTCTGTCCCCTACCCCTCAAGGTGTGGCTACAAAAAATAATGCCCATTCATTGTGGAATATCCCTTTGATGACAACATTTCTACCAGGTGAGAATGTCTGAGCCAGGGACAGTGAACACACTGACTAAAGAAGCCCATTTCTTCTCCCATCAGCGGGGAAAGGGATTATGAAATTCCTGTGACCCATAGATCAGTTAAGCCAGAACTACTCTGGGCATTTCTTTCCCCCATAAGGTGTCCCAAGGCCGCCAGGATTCCCTTCCTGAGGCCTTTCCTTACCAAGCTAGCCCCCCACTCCCCCATTCCTCATGGATTCCTCTTAGAACCCCTTACCATACTGGCCCAACTCTAAGTACTCTTGAGCTCTAATGACAGCCCTAGTGTAGTACTCAGTTCTCCAAACAGAGGGCCATCCTTTTTGTCCTCAGCAGTTCTTTTTAAAAAAATTTTGTTGGTTGTCGGGCTTGAACTCAGGGCCTGGGTGCTATCCCTGAGCCCTTTTGCTCAAGGCTAGTGCTTTACTTCTTGAGTCATAACTCCACTTCTGGTTTTTGAGTGGTTATTTGAAGATCAGAGTCTTATGGGAACTTTCCTGCTGGGCTGGCTTTGAGCTATGATCTTCAGATCCCAGGCTCTTGAGTAGCTAGGATTGTAGGCATGAGCCACCGGCACCCAGTGTGTCCTAGATATTTCTATTCATGAAACACATCCAGAGTATTTCCCGCAGGTTCTTGGTGATTAACAGCTAAGAGTTTCTGAATGAATGGTTGTTTTCAGTGGCTGAGGAGAACCAGACAGCTTTGCTCTACTGCCTTGCTGAGTTACCTTAGTCAATCTGGTTATTCCTCTGTGTCTTCTGACATAGGAAATGGGAGATAATGAGACTTTTTGTTTGTGAGTATAAGAATTAGAGTGGTGCCTGGCTAAGGATGTAGTAAATACACTAAAATAAAGGACATGATTTGGGTTCTGACATATCTGCTCTCATGGAGTATGACTTTGTTTTGGAAGAATCTGAACCCTTGCTAAAGAGGCCGTACGGATCTCTTCCATTGTCTATTTCTTAGGTAGCCTACAATTGTCACTTTCATGAAAAATAGCCAATAGATGCAGAAGAAGATCTGGGAGACAAGGACAGTGTGTAGAACTGGATATGGGCTGGAACACTCGACAGAAATGATATTTGCTGGCTTTTATTTTACTGAGGCCAGTTTCTAAATTGCTAAAAAGCACTAAGTGCTTTCTTGGCTAAGGCTTTTCTTCTGGGAGAATGGCTGGCTCTGGAAGCAGCGATATCATTCTTAAATTATGTCATTATTATCTATGTCATCGAATCTAAAACAAAGGTTCTCCTCTAGGAGTCATTTTCACTCCCCTTACACAGTCCTAAGACAAGCAAGGGAGATAGATCTCTGAGGAAGGAGCATAACAGGTGTTATGTGACTTGTCCTGGGCCATGTAGAGGCGAGGACTGAGGTGGATCTGGTGTGAGCACCAGGGTATTCTCTTGGGCAAGCTTATGCAGGCCTGGGCTACAACTTGGAAAAATGGAGTGAGTCTTGTAATGAAGAGGTGAGGGAAAGGGTTGAACCTGTCACTTCTGTTTCTAGTGGTCATCTCTGCAAGGTTCAGAAGGTGAGCTCTCTTCCAGTGTTACAATACAGGAGCCCTCTGGGAAGCCCCAGCATCCTGTGGTTTGAGAGGACCATGTCTTAGAAATGCCTTGAGAAGAGTGACTGGTGTGGAGGTATTAGCTCCATGCACCTAAAGAAGTGACATGGATCTCCCTTTCTTTAACCCAGATCAAGTAAATCCTCCAATGAACCTCACAGCTGAGATTCAAGGAACTCACCTCTTTATCCATTGGGAGAAACCAGTTTCTGCCTTTCCAGTCCAGTGTTTTGATTATGAAGTGAAAATTTGTAATGCAAAGAATGGCTATTTTCAGGTAAATTCTGTTTGTTTTTTCTCGCTTGCAGTTGGCACTCTACCACATGAGCCATGCCTCTGGTTTGGCTTTTTGCAGGTTAATTGGAGTATCGTAGACTTTTCTGCCCAGAGTTAGCTTTGAATCATGATTCTCCATGTCTCAGATTCCCAAGTATCTCAGACTACAGCATAAACTACTTGTTCTTGGCTCTCAGATAATACTAATATTTGATAATAAATGTCTTATTTTAGAAGTATTAAAAAAAAAAAAACTCTGCCCGGTGGCTTTTCTGGGTATTGTTAAAGACTCACAAGGTCGAAGTTAACTTATACCTCAGGTATTACAGCAATAGGCCAAAATCTTAGAGCTTTTTTTCTTTCAAAGGGCATAGTTCGGGTTGAAAATAATACAAAAGATCAGACAAAGACTCATTCATGACTAGTTTTGGCTAAAATATGAAATCATGCAGCAGCTGTGAAAAATAGAGACAAGTTAAAAAATAGTATGATCAAATGGTCAGCAATCCCATCTCTAGGCATATATACAAAAAAAAAAAATCAAAACAGGGTCCCAAAGAGATATTCCCATACCTATGCCATTTAATCTACATCAACTTCCATCGCCTCGACTTTACCATTGACCACCTCCTATATTTTAGTTCCAAGGCAGCTTTCCCTGAAGGGTGACTGCAGTTTATCACACTGAAGACATCTGGAATATACTAATTAATGGCTCCTATTGATTTTAAATTACTGCCTGCACAGAGTCACTTGACCTCCAAATGACCTTGCAGGATGGTCATTGGCATAAACAATGTGTCTAGAGATTATTACAATGCTATTTTCCCCCATCTAGATGGAAAAAGTGACAACCAATGAATTCATCTCAACCACTCACGGTATTTCTAAGTATTCCATTCAAGTGCGGGCCACGGTGAGCTCTGTGTGCCGTGAGCCGGGGCTCTGGAGTGAGTGGAGTCAGCCTGTTCATGCAGGTGAGTCCCCCATACTGATGCTACCGTGGTGGCCTTACTCAAGGATGAAAACACACCGCGATCTCTGCATCTCTGCTATCGACTCAACTTCCCTGGCACCTCTGCCTTCTCTACCATGTAGGTTTTCTGGGAGACCGATGAAGCTTAGGTGACTCACCATTTCCTCAGCACAAACCCTCCCCTGGCTTTGTCCCTGTTTTGGATTTGTGTTCTTACCCTTGGGGAACATCTTGGGGCAGGGGAAGAATAACCTAAAGCATAATAGTGGGTAGCCCTGGGTTGGGGAAAATGAGAGTAATCAAGGAGGATCAAGCTGATGCAAACCTCCAGGTGAAACCCCTTTGAACAATTACCTTCACTTAAAACCTGGATGATAGGCATGTAAGTAAAATGGGTGTGCTCATGAGAGGAGGAGGGTGAAGGGAGAGGGTGGAGGAGGGCGAATATGGTCAACATACTTTATGTCCATGGGTAAAAATGGAGCAATGAAGTCTGTTGAGATTGGTTTGGGAAAAGAAGGAAAATTGTGATGGAAGGGGTGAGTCGGCTCGAGGGACAGCGTATGAACCTATGGGCCTGCCGAAATCACACCCCTCCCTACAACTAACTGATGCCCTTAAATGTGGAAGAAAAATCCCAACTAGAAAACCAACATCGACAGTCGCGCAATCGTACTGAAATTCCATCAGTCTGAATGCACTCGATTGCATGTTTAGTCCTCATCTGTACCATGTGACCATCCCATGTGACCGTACCTTGTGCATGTGTAACTGTGCAATATGCATTTGCTTCCCACTGTGCCAGTCATGACTTCCTACTGGTCTCCTCCCACCACAGAAGGGTTCAGTGAAGCTGGGATCTGCCATTTACGTTCATTTAGTGGGGGCCATGGCTCATATCTGTAATCCTAGCTACTCAGAAGGCTGAGCTCTGAGGATCCTGCCTGGGTAGTAAAATCCTATGTGACTCTTATCTCCAGTGAACCACCCAAAAAGCCAGAAGTGGAGCTGTGGTGGAAAAAAAAAAAAAACCCCAAAAACAACAACTAAGGAACAGCACCCCAGGCCCTGAGTTCAAGCCCTAGTATTGGCATGTGTGCACATGCTCACTCATGTGCACCTACCCTCTCCTTTATCATTCACTTGAGAGCTCCCCCTCCTCTCCATTATCATCACCTTCCTACTTTGGATCTGGCCTCATTACTGTTTCCTCCCAGGTGCACCTCATTGGCATTATCCTCAGCAAATCCCATTTCACTGACTGCCACCCATTTCCTGAAGACGAGCTGATTAATATTAGCACTCACCTTATAAATCCATCCTTTCTGAATTTACTCCCCTGCTTAGCTTGGGATCATTAGTGGATTTAATCAATGCAGACTTTCCTTTTCATCAAGATGATTAATAAACATAATAGAAACTCTAAGCCTCTCGGGGACATTCTGCATGGCTCTTCCTTCCCCCCGGTGGGTGCAGCCATAATTGTGCCCGGCTTGCAGTCTTCCGGGCAATTGGGCTGCTACATTCATTTCCTCCTTTCCTACCAAGCCCATAAATGGCACCCTGGAGCCGTCCCCTTCCATTTACCCTCCCCAGCCCCCCCTCAAATATCATCTCTTCCTGTGATATTAAGTCCACCCCCTATATTTTAATTATGGTAAGGAAAGAATCGAGATATTAAATGACTCAGTAGTTGTCAAACAGCCAAGAAGTGACTATTAATGTTTAATTTCCTCATCTAGGTGACACAGGAGCCAATTAGCAAATTAGAATAGATTCAGCTAACTAATTAACCCATGATAGCCCAAGGTTATTTCATAAAAGGTGGCACACACCCTAAGTTTGATGCAGTTGGGTTAGGGGGGGAGGAGGGCACTTCAAGTGGGGACAAAGAAAGCAATCAGCAGGACCCCTCTGCATGCCCTAAACTGCGCCTTCAGTCTGCTGTCCTATCCTAGGATTTCCAGAGCATGGTTATTTGCAAGAAGAAATAAAACAGCCATTGCATTTATCTATACTTGTTATCTACTGTTTCTCAGCTTCTGTCTTAAGAGCTGAACTTCCCAATTTTCACTAGTCTTTCTCCTTTTGTAACTTTCTTAACTGAACTTCCCAATTTTCACTAGTCTTTCTCCTTTTGAAACTTTCTTAACTTCCGGATTCTTCCGTGTGTTCCTTTGTTATCTTTCCTGTTGACTGACATTATCTGATTATCTGTGCTTTTCCACTGGCCTTAGTAAAGCTTTTTTTTTTTGTCAGTTGTGGGGCTTGAACTCTGGGCTTGGGCGCTGTCCCTGAGCTCTTCAGGTCAAGGCCAGTGCTCTACCACTTGAGCTATAGCGCCACTTCCGGTTTTCTGAGTGTTTATTGGAAATAAGAATTTCATGGACTTTCCTGCCCGGGCTGGCTTTGAACAGTGATCCTCAGATCTCAGCCTCCTGAGTAGCTAGGATTACAGGCATGAGCCACCCACGCCCGGCTTAGTAAAGCTTTTTGTTGTTTGAATTCTGTACTTTTTCTTCCTTCCCCTCTGTGATGCCCCAATGCCAAGTGGGAAACAAGCTATATGAAAATAAATTTCTCTACCTTCCCTAGAGGAATGGGCATGTTGGCTGCATGGAAGTGGCATCCTGTAGCTACATGCTTGGCTTAGACTCGGTCTTGTTTGTCCGTGACAGGTCATAGCCGTAATCATGGGAATTGCTCTCAACCTCACTAAAAGCAACATCTGATGGCCAAGATCTATGTGATGGGGGAATTAGGCATGAATGAGAAGCTATTTCTTAAAGTCTTCTTCAGGCTTGAGCTTCATGGCACTTACCCCCAGGGCCTAGAGCAACATTCACCCACTGTTCACATCACTGGAACTCTCCACCGAGCTCACCGCTAGCACCTTCAGCAAGCACGCATGGTACTCACGGCAAGTTTTCACATCTTCTCATGGTTTGAGCTCTGTGTCCCAGAGTTATGGGATATGCCTAGAATGTTAGGGCTGAAGGCAAAGAGATTGACGCAGAGAATCCGTGTGGCATGTAGGGGATTGGGCTGGGATGGAAGGAAAGCTTTCCCCTTCGATGGATATTCATGATGGCTGTGTGTGAAGCAGCCCAGTAATTCCTCCACAACCCATGCAACCAAAGGCTTATGGACGGTGCAAGATCCTGGAGTTCCAGCTTGTCTCCCTCCCACTCCTATGCCTGTATTTCTTTCCCTACCCCGCTTCTGTCTGTGTGTCTCCCCTATCCCAGCATTGTCTTTGAGTATATGTGAGTATATGTGTGTGTGTGCATCTGTGCACTGTTCCTCAGGCTTGAACTCAAGGCCTGACCCTCTTGTGCAGTTTTTTTTCACTCAAAGCTTATGTTCTACCACTTGAGCCATGACTCCATTTCTGGCTTGCTTTGGTGGTTAGTTGGCAATATGAGTCTCATAGACTTCCCTGCCCAGGCTAGTTTTGAACCTGAATCCTCTGCTCTAAGCCTTCTGAGTAGCTAGGATGACAGACATGAGCTTCCAGAGTTATCTTTTTAAATTCTCACTATAATGAGTTAAGGAACAAGCCAGGAAAGGAAAACACGGAAGAAGGGACCAGCTTTGTGTACTCCAGGCCTTTGAAAACTTTCCTAGGACGAGAGATGGAAAGTTCTGGGTCAGCACAGTAAGATACTGCTGGAAAAGTTTCAACAAGTAACCCAGCAGGAAGAGGAAAACCATTCACAATGTTTGTTTTTTCTGCAAGTGGAGCATTTAGGCTGGGTAAACATTGTAGTTGGTTGACTAAAACTCTTCCTTTCACCCAGACTCCTGTGGTTTCAAGGCTGGCTTGACTCTTCTAGGCATCCCTACTATCTGGTCCCAACTGGGGGCAGAAATGCCTTTGTCCCACTGCCCTGAAGAATGGCTAGCCTGGAGCTTTCAGATTCTGCCTTCAAAGGCCAGAAGCACTGAATTCTCATTACTCCTCTGGCTCAACCACCCTCTCTTGCTGGCCACACCCCTTTCCCATGACTAAATCCTGCCTCTCATGATGTAGCTGCCCATAGGGACTTTATCATTGGACCTAGTTCTAGGCTAGGCAAGCCCATGCATATACACTTGTGCACATGAGAAAATAGATGACCAAAGTTGCACAGCTGGTAAGTGGTGGCCTAGACCTAGAACCCCATGACACAATTGACTATCCATACCTAACTTCTAGGATGTTCTGTCTGGAATTGCCGAGGCAAAAGGTCAGGCCATGCCTGAGCCGCAGGAGATGGGAGCCACACGAAGAGAATCTCTGACAGCTATTGCTCTTCTCAGCCTCCATCCATCCCCAGACCAGCATTGTTTTCATCCACCTCTTCAGAACCCTCTTGTCTCACTTGTTTCTCTCCAAGTTATCGCCATGTTTATTTAAATGCAGGTCCTCGAAGGTTAGGACTATTTGTAGCGTAAGTCTCTTTGTCAAATGCAGGTCCTCGAAGGCTAGGACTATTTGTAGTATAAGTCTCTTTGTCTTCCCTGATCTCTGGGATATTTGGTGTTGATCTCTCCTGAGCTACTGAGACTCTCAGCCCAATGGAAGTGATGCAGATGAGGGTCTTGAGCGTACAGACACCAGGTATACCCCACTGCACACAGCTCAAGTCTCTACTCCCTCTCTGTACTCTGGTCCACTTAGATGCAGTTTTCTCCAGGTGACACATGTCTGTGCACTTTATAGTGGCTTGTGGATATTCTATGCGTCATTCTCTCAGGGTGCATTCTGCTGCTCTTCCATTCCTTAAACCAGGGATGGCCCACTGTCTATTTGACAGCTGCTTTGTGAAGTTCCTACCTACAAAAGTTTTGTGTGAAGTGGGAGCCCTTTTACTCTACACCCAGAGGAAAGCCACAGGGTGCTGGTTAAACCTCGTATTACTGACATTGACATCCTCTCAATTACCCAGCCCTGTTGGTGCCATTTGAAGTTTTCCCCAAATCTACCTGCTGGTCTTAATAACGCAGCAGGGTTGCTTTCATTAGAAGGATCCAGTTAATTTACGAATTAGCTCTTTTCCCTGAAAAAAACATTGTTGAGTCTGTAATCTGATTCAAAATTGATACAGATGCATTGAAAGTCCATACCTTTAGTGGGCACTGAAGGTGGGAAAGGCTTCCAAATCAAACCTGTCTCCTGAGAACTATTTGTCTTGGCTACATCAACGGTAGAACTTTGGAACTAGAGGGACAATAGCACCCAAGCCAGAAGTGATTTTACAAGCTCACCAAGGCAGCCAGAGGCAGGGCTGGATGGGACAAAGTTGGTCCAACACTTAGAGATTTCCTTCTCTCTCTGTGGCTACCATCCCGTAGGTATATCCTAGAACATCTAACAACAGAAGTTCAGCCGCGGTACTGGTTCATCTGCAAGATCAATTGGTTGAGAGGCCAAAAGAAATGGAAGCGGAAGTCACAGAAATCAGACAAATCAATTCCCCAAGCAGTTTAAGCTGTTGATATCTGCAGAGCAACTAGAAATGAGGTAGAGAGTGGTGGCCATCTCTGTGGAACAAACTATGTGACTTCCTTTTTCAAAAACTGGTCTCTGCATGGCTAAATGAGAGAGCTGATCATCTTCCTCAAAACAAATGTCTGTGACTTGCTTTTCAATGGCAGGCACCGTGAGCCACAGAGAGAGTGCAAATCACCTATCATTTTTTTCTACCCAGTCCTGGGACTGGACTCCAAACCATGCATGAAATCTTTACTTTGAAAAAAAAAAAGCCCAAGGCTATAGCATCTCAACTGTTTTAACCCAAGCCATGAGTCCTGTCTACAGACCCCGTTTCCCTGCTTTGCCTACAGCAAAATCATTTACCATGAGTCATTTTCTCTCTGTCTCTGTCTCTGTCTCTCTCTCTCTAATTGGTAAATCAATAGTGGATAATTAACAAGTAATTTCTACTCAGCAGTGAGTATGTGATAACTTTTTCACTAACTTTCCCTGCCAATTTAGATTTACTTTGCAGGAACGCTCACCTGGTGTTCTGGGTGTGAATTTTGTTCTGATTTGGCTTTCTAGACCTACTAGACAGGCATCCCCTGAGAAAGGGCTCATTGCGAACTCCCTCCTACCTAGTACCTAGTACCCTGCATATACTAATAACTTTCCTTTTAATTGAAAGGAAATCAGTTGCCCTTATCTTTTTTTGCTAATTCAGTGAGAATCTTCCCTTATCAAAGTAAGAGAGGAACTGAATAAACCAGGGAGTGGTTTAACTGCAAAGATTTTTGTAATCCTGGGCAGAAGACAAACAGAACTATTATCAGGACTTGACATGGCAGCGCAGAAGGAGATTTCACAAGTTGAGCTGGACGAGTGAATGCGTCCTATGACACCTCACCCCCCCCCCCTCCGTGGTTTCTGCAGGAGCCCACGTTTTGCCCTCTTTGTCCCTTCGTTGTAGACTTTTTATTTCCTGACATTTCCCTTGCTGAATCTACAGACATGCTGGTGATGGTAGAGATTCTGAATGTACTTATTCAGACCTTTGGAACAATGGAGGTGAGCATGGTTGGCGTCCGAGATGGGGATGTGTAGCAGCCTGAGTCCGTTAGTCAGAGAAGCAAAGCAGGAAGAAAAGACAGCAGCACGTGGAACCAGGAGCTCTTTATATTAGCCATGGAAAAATGCCATTAAAAACAAGGTTTCACAAGACGCCGAGTTCAAATCCAGGCAGTCAAACATGAACTCTAGAAGCCCTGGTAGTCAATGGGATTTGGGAAAAAGGAAAGAAAAGGTTTGCCTCTGAGGATTTTTTTTCCTGTCATTTTATAAGGCGCAGCTGATGCTTATTTATAGTAGACATAAAAACTTCACAATTAAGCTTTTCTTTCACAGTACACCTGTAACCAAAGGACTGTCCTTCAGCTCTTTCACCTAATGCTAACACTTTATCACTTGAGTCACAGATCCACTTCCAGCGTTTTGGTGGTTAATTGGAGACAAGAATCTCAGGAACTTTCTTTCTTGCCTGGGCTGGCTTTGAACCTTGATCCTGAGATCTTAGCCTACTGAGTAGCGAGGACTACAGGTGGGAGTCACCAGTGCCTGGCAACAATACCTTTTTGTTGTTGTTGTTGTTTTGTCTTGTTTTTTAAATAAAGCATCTTAGTCCCACCTAATGGGAAATAGCCATTTGCAAAGCAACCACTTTCATTAAACAGGGGATCACATACTTGGGTCCAACAGCTAGGACAGGCAAGGCAGGATCCTAAACCAGGGCTTTCCTGTGGTGAACACCACATAGCCACGTGAGAAGGCTCTGGAGAGTGTGTTACAGATGCCTTAGTTTGAGTCAAGGAACTCCAGGATGAACTCCTACATGGCAAACTGGGCCTAGAATCCACATCTCCAGACTTGGCAGGAGCCAAAAGCATGTGGCTCCCATATTTCCGTTGTAAATCAAGGAGTTGAGGGAAGGGGCGGGGCCAGGGAGAATGGGGGAAACCAAGGTAGCTTCAAGGATTTGGGGTTGGCAGCTTGAAAGAACAGGGCTTGAAATGCAAAAGTCAGGGGAGAAGTTGTTTCGAAACAAAGCAGATCATAAATCTGGTTTGGACTATGGTCAGCTCTGAGAAGCACTCAAGTGATCTGTCACCAATGGGTGATTCATGATTTAGACCTGAGCTGCTGTGTGCCGGGAATAAAGACTTGCGAGAAGATTTGGGGGGAATTTAAAGACACTTTTCAGTGTTTGCAAACAGACTACAGTAGAAGAACCAAGGGATGAGCTTGTTGAAAGGGCCAGTGGAAATTTGATTTTGTGTTTTGGTTTACAGTACTGGGCCTCATGCTCCTTGGCTTTTTCCACTCAAGGCTGGGGTTCTACCCCTTGAGCCACAGCTCCCCTCCCTTTCCTTTGTTTAAAAGAACAAAGGAAATGCGGTGGAAGAACGAAGCCAGGAGTCAGAGCACTCATGGCTCCATTTCAACGTGGGCTCAGCCGGTCAGCGTGGGCTCAGCCGGTCAGCGTGGGCTCAGCCGGTCAGCCTGGGTTCAGACACCAGCCGCGTCAAATGCTGAAAGAGCAAGAAAAAGAAAGCTCAGGGAAACAACCCCCAAGAATCATTTGGATTAGACGAGGAAGGCATTAACGATGATTTTTAAAGACAGTTTCGGAAGTAGAAAAACCCATTAGCCTGAATCACCTTATTCAAGAAATCAGGCTAAAGGAAGAAAGTGTTTGATGACGGGCAGAAGGTTTGGCTGAGCAAAGCCATGGCTTATTCAAGATAAAGGACTCTGTGAATGTTGGAAAGTGGGGGGGAAGAGATCGCGAGGGAGATGAAAGGTTTGGGGAGCAGCAGAGAAATCTAGATAACTGCCCTGGAGACAGCAAAGGAAGAGCTTCGGCGGAGCGAGAGTCACTCACTAAATACAAATATAACTCCCCCTCTTCATACTTGCATGTTTCCAGGTTTACAAGGTTCAAGACTTTGGGGAAGTCTTAAAGCTGTTCTAGAGCACTGGAAATGTTGACTTCCAGGTGTTTGTTGTTTTACAAAAGAAATGATTCATGGCAAAATTGAGGACTAGAGCTCTTTTTCTCCTGGTATAATGTGGTTTGAAGCGCGCCATGGTAACTTATAATGACTGTGATGTTTGCTTCATGCGGTTCTTCCTTGATGGACTCCAGGCTGTAGGATACAAGGGCTCACGTACATTCTTCTAAGCACAATGATCACAGTCTCTTGCACATCATTAAATACCTAATGGGAGCCTAATATTTGTTCAGAGGATTTGAGCTGAGAATTAATGGAGTAGTACATGGTGTATTCAGGGAGGAGACTCAGGTTCTGAATTCTCTTCTCTAAGTGAACCGGGAACTTTACAAAAACATTTCTTCTGCCAGGCATCTGTGACTCCTGCCTGTAATCCTAACTACTCAGGAAGCAGAGATCTAAGAATCCCAGTTCAAAGCCATCCAGGCAGGAAAATCCATGCTTGCATTTATTCATCCTTTCTCCTTCTATTTCTGTGCTACCATCTTGCTCCCCCCAAATAGAAAAAAGCAAACTAAACAACAACAGCAAGCAAAAAGCAAAAACAAACCAGTCCCTGGAATGTAGATCAGAAGCAACTTCAGAGAATTGGGTGCTGTGAGCTGAACCTATACAGTACTGACCATGATAGGTTTTCTTCTACTCTCCTGGCTATGAAAGAGAGCAAGGGGAGATCATTAAGGTCCTATAGCATTTATTGTAGAGTCTGCAGCCTAAAGCCTTAGTCTTCACCCAAAGCTAATAAGCTCCAGGGCTCAGGAAGCACAGTACAAGGAACAGATTCCTAAAATACTTGCTAGCTGAATAACTAATGCTTGATGCTTCAAAGTGGCCTTGTTTTCATGAGCTCATTCTATTCCCATATCAACTCTGTGATGTGGACACTTTAACAGGTGAGAAATCTCAGGCTCAGGAAAGTTCAGCCATGTGTCTAGTGTTGTTCAAGACTCTGGGACTCACACCCAAGCTATGTGATGCCTGAAATCTGTTCACTTCCCTTCCCTCCCCCTTGATTCTAACGCTTTCTCTTTCTCTCTCTTTTTCCCAATCAGGGAATGATGAGCAGGAGCCCTGGGCAGGATGGTTTTTCATTGCACTCACAGCCACGGTCTGCATTCTCTTGTTCGTTTCCTTCCTCATCTGCAGAGTGTAGGTATTCTTCATGTGTAGCTGCTTCCAGTTGTGTCTGAGTAAGGTATTTTCAAGCCTTGCTCAGTGTACATGAGATGGAAGGGCCTCATTGTCATGTGGGGTTTATAGCATTTCTCTGTGTGGATCATTCTGAGGTAGATAGACACCAAATACTGGCTCACGATGTACAGAAGCTAGACCAGGTCCAGCCCTCTGCCACTGCAAATCCCCCTGTGAGTTTGTTGACAGTAAATGGATATAGGTGGAAGGTTTTTACTTTCAGTACTTCATTGGGTAATTGCTTGTCTTTGTTTTCTTTTTGTTTTTGTTTTTTTGGTTTGTTTTTTTTGGGGTGCTAGTCCTGGGTCTTAAACTCAGGGCCTGCACACTATCCCTGAGCTACTGCTGCTGCTGCTGCTGCTACAGCTGCTGGTCCTCCTCCTCCTCTTCCTCCTCCTCCTCCTCCTCCTCCTCCTCCTCCTCCTCCTCCTCCTCCTCCTCTACCTCCTCCTTTACCTCCTCCTCTTCCACTTCCTTCTCCTCCTTCTTTTTCTTTATGAGATCTTTTTAATTAAGTGCTTATGCTGGTAGTGTAATTCCCAAAGGATACAGAAAGTAAGAGCCACAAAATTAGAAGAACTTCGAGCTTCTTTTGAGCAAGGCTAGTGCTCTACCACTTGAGCCAGAAGAGCTCCATTTCCAGCAGGTCTTTGGTAAGCCATCAACGAAGGCTTTTTATACCCCAGGTAAAAGACGACAGCTCACCAGAGGCTGACATCACCACCATTCCCACACATGATGAGTCTCAATAATCAGGGGCTCATCCTACCTGGATCTTTTGTCACCTGGCCAGAGTGGATGATGATGATGATGATGATGATGATGCTGTTGCTGGAATTGGGACTTGATATCGGGGCCTTGCGTTCTTGCTTGTTTGTTTTTTCATTCAAGTCTAGACTCTACCCCTTGAACCACACTTCCACTTCTGACTCTTTATTAGCTACTTGGAAATAATCTCTTTGATTTGTGTGCCTGGCTTCAAATCTTGATCCTTGGACCTCAGCCCCGAGTAGCTAGGATTATAGAGCCACTGGTGCCTGGCAAGACTGATTGTGCTTAAGTTAAAAAAAGTCTAGAAATGCCATGAATATCTGGTATCAAACCTTGTGACCTGAAAATGGCTTTATAAACACTCCCTATCGATCCACTTTGGTATTCAGGAAAAAAGTGTCCTTTAAGGAGGTATAAGCCTCTGCTCTGATACCTGGCTCATGCCTACAATCCTAGCTACTCACAAGGTTGAGCTCTGACAACCAGGTCTGAATCCAGCCTGGTAGGCATATTCATGAGGTTCTTAACTCCAATTAACTGGCAAAAAGTTGGAACCTGAGGTATGGTGCAAGTGGTAGAGCACCAGCCTTGAGTAAAAAAGCTGAGAGACAACACCCTGGCCCCAGTACAGACGCACATGTGTGTATGTGCGCGCATGCACATGCGCGCGCGCACACACACACACACACACACACACACACAACATGTTCTGTCTTAGCTCTGTCACAACATAGGGTACAAAAACCTTTCATGTTAAGGAGATTACTATCATAGTTGTTATATTTGGGTAGCATCTGTCCAAAGGAGGATATAAGGGGAGAGGGAAGGTAGTTTAAAGGAAAGGAAAAGAAAAAAAATGTCCATGATCCACACAATTGAGAAAGGAATACCTTATCCAGCACTGCAGGTAACTACCTGGTGCTATTAAGTGGGTACTTGGAATCTATCTGCAGACCTTTGGCCTGGCAATATGCATAGAACAGTTGCTAGTGTGTCTCTGTTGGTTGATTCAGAAGCTGTGTTACAGCCTTGCAGGGTCCTCAACTGACGCAAATGTCTAGAATTGTTGATCAGTAAAGATTCTGCCTTTATGAAGCAGCTAGTTGTAAAACCAATGAGGTGGATGTTTAGACTTGGTATTTGAAGGCACATAATTCCTTCCTTTATTCTCTTTGCAGATACAATTTGTGGACCAAGTTGTTTCCACCAGTTCCAGCACCCAAAAGTAACATCAAAGACTTCTTTGTGATCACTAACTATGAGGTAATGTTGAAAAAGTTAACTTTTTCTTTTCTTGACCTTCTTGGGGCTTGAATTTAGGGCCTGGGCACTGTCCTTGAGTTTCTTTTGTTCAAAGCTAGTGTTCTGCCTCTTGAGCCACAGCTGGCTTTTTCTGTGATTAATTAGAGATGAGAGTCTCATGGACTTTCTTGCCCTGGCTGGCTTCAAACTGAAATCCCTAAATCTCCTGAGTAGCTAGGATTATAGGTGTGAGCTACAGGTGCCTGGCCTAAGAAGATATGTTCCAAGTGCCCAGGGTTGAGTCTCCTGCAACCTCTCTCTGGGTTTTTTGTTCTACTATAATGTAGATAGGTGGATCAGGAGACAGGAGCTTTCCTCTTACTTCCATGGTCCTGTTCTTTGGCTAAATGGGGGTTGTAAATGTTCATCACTGCCCCTACATTTGTTAAATGTAAATGTGTAAGTATGTAAAGAACCATCTAGGGAAAACTGTTGCCCTTGAATATACATTTTCATGTTCTGTTCACCAGCCAGAATCCAGGGATTTTCCCAAATGGTCACTTTCCAAAATCACTTGTTGAAATAGTATTGCCTAAGTGAATTATCTTGACATCCTTGTCAAAAGTTAGTTTTCCACATATGTGAGTGACTCCAGTGCTAGACTATCTTTTTGGTATCAATGATTTATTTATCTGTTTTTAAACAAAACAATTCTATCAGGGTTCCTATAGCTTTAGGACCAACCTTGAGATCAGGTAGGGCAAACAGGCCTCAAAGTGTGATTTTTGATTATTCTGTGTTTTTTTTTTTTTTGCATTGCTATGAAAATTTTAGAACCAGCTTTTAATTTCCTGTGATTTAAAGAACAAAACAAAGTATCAAAACAACAACAGCAACAACCAGAAAGGCTGAAGCTCAGTGGTAGAGCATCTACCTATTAGGTATGGGATTTGGAGTTAGTCCCCAGCAGCCCATACACACCCACAAAATAATCCAAGAAAAAGAAAAGAAAGATGATGTCTATGAACATAGAGCAATATAATTTGAGAGACTATACAATGTTACAAAGAATGAAAGAAATTGATAAAGCTGTGCAAAGGCTGTGTTTGTTTATATTGTACTCTGCAAGTACAAGAACCTAGGATCCATTCGCAGCACCAAATAGTAAGTTAATTAAAGTGGTGTCTCCCTTTGAAATAGCCTATTTAATCATATGGTAATATCATTATAAATATAAAGGCACCTTTATGCCTAGAAAGAGGGCTGAGGAGCATTGGTGAACAGTGAGGTATGTTTTGGGGTACAAGTTCATGAGGATCTTTTTCTTCTTCCTACTTTATATTTTCATATTTTCTTCAACAGTCACTATTTTTTTTTGTTGGTCATGGGGCCTGAACTCTGGACCTGGGTGCTGTCCCTGAACTCTTCAGCTCAAGGCCAATACTCTACCACTTGAGCCACAGCGCCACTTCCAGCTTTTTCTGCTTATGTGGTGCTGAGGAATTGAACTCAGGGTCTCATGCATGCAAGGCAAACACTCTACCACTGAGCCACCTTCCCAGTCCCAAAGTCACTATTTTTATTCTTAAAATTATGGAGGGGCTGGGAAGGTGGCTTAGTGGTAGAGTGCTTGCTTAGCATGCATGAAACCCTGGGTTCGATTCCTCAGTACCACATACACAGAAAAAGCCAGAAGTGGAGCCTGTGGCTCAACTGGTAGAGTGCTAGCCTTGAGCAAAAGCAGCTTAGGGACAGAGCCCAAGCCCTGAGTTCAAGCCCCAAGACTGGTAAAAAAAAAAAGTTACTTAAATTCAATTGTAATAAATCCAAAAAGACAAGATGCTCATCTAAAGGATTTTTTTTTTTCTTCCAGAAAACTGGTTCCAGTGGTACAGAACTTGAAGTTGTAAGTTATGTGGAAGAATGTGGAATGGAGGTCTTGGAACACTCTGTGTTTTGATGGTCACTGTGGCATTCTCAAGCAACACTCTCACGCATGATTCTGCAATAAGAATAGGACTGCTGTTTCTTGGACAACAGGTGTTCAGAATTTACTGCATATACAGTGTAGCCACAAGACAATACCTTAGGATGGATAGGTCTGAAAGTGTGCGTGCTTCATCAAGATCTCCCTGCTCTTGGCAATGTGACCGACGAATCGAGTATTCTGTTGCTTATTTCATCCTGATTTGATATAGTGAGACACTTCCTTGCACCTGCCAAATGTTGCAATTTGCATGACTCACCTCAAACGTCTATGTACAAGTGACAGTAGTGAGTGGGAAGGACTCCCAGATCAACAATCAACCTCCTGAGCTGGAGCCAGTGGCTCACACCTGTAAGCCTAGCTACTTGGGAGGCTGACATCTGAGGATCATGCTTCAAAGTCAGCCCGGACAGGAAAGTCTGAGAGACTCTTACCTCCAATAAACCACCAGAGAACTGGAAGTGGAGCTGTGGCCCAAGTGGTAGAGCTCTCGCCTTGAGCTGAAGAGCTGAAGGACAGGGCCTAGGCCCAGAGTTCAAGCCCCATACCACTACCACCACCACCAAAAAGAATCAACCTCCTAAGAAGATATCTGCTGCCAAACCTCAGAGCAATTGTGACGCTGTATCTACCTAGCTCTTAAGTCCCGGAGCATTCCCACAGGCCAGCCCATTAAACATTCCACTCTGTAGGGAGATTTCTCTTCTCTTCATCATCTTCTATGAGTTTACATCGTACAGGCCTTTTCAGGAGCAGAAAGTGGAATCAAGCACAGCTGTGTCCTGGGCAGAGATGGGAGCAGGTGCAATGGTATGATTGTACAGGGTCCTGGAATCCCCACCATGAACACACTTTTTTTTTTCTGGTTCTGGGACTTGAACTCTGGGCCTGGGTGCTGTCCCTGAACTACTTTTGCTCAAGGCTAGCACTCTACTACTTGAGCCACAGGGCCACTTGTGGCTTTTTCTGAGCAGTTGATTGGAGATAAGAGTCTCAGGGACTTTCCTGCCTGGGCTGGCTTTGAACTGTGATCCTCAGATCTCAGCCTCCTGAGTAGCTAGGATTACAAGCGTGAGCCACCAGTGCCCAGCTTCATGGCATACTCTCAATGTGCTTTCTGGAGTTGGTTTAGTCCATTATGATCCTCCAAAGGAGATGCAGTGACTACTACATCTAATTTTTCTAGCAGAATTCTAACCGAGGCTGGGCTCAGAACAAAAAGCATAGCATTTGCCGCAGCTGTCAATTACCTGTTGTTCAACCCAAGTGGCAAATGCCAGAACTTCACACCTCACTCTCTCCTCTTGATAAACCTGCCATTGCCTTCCATTTCATGGAATTTGACTGCCAGTTGGCAGAAGCAGCTACTGAGGGCCGGGTGAGGAATGGATACAAGGATCCTGTGGTGCCAGTAATGAGGAGAGGACTGTCAGGAAAAAATAAAGCTTGCTTAGATGTGGACCAGGAAGGCAAGGCTCACTGAGTGCTCAGGTAACTGGCAAACTTGTTTGCTCACTCAATCCATGGAGAATCTCTGACGGTCGTCTTCAGAAACCTTCACGTACAAATATGAAGGGACTCTGGTCAGGTGTTCTCAAGATGAGCATGTATCTTGGAGGGCATTTGCCACACCAGAGACTGGGCTCCGGTCCTCAGGCTCTGAACAGGGTGACCTGCATCTGAAAGTTTGCGTGGCCAACAAGTTAATTCCTGTGTGATGCTTATTTTAGGTCGCTGGTCTGGAGACGGCTTTGAGAAGTAGGGCTCTGCACAATTCTTAGGACTATCACCATCATTCACTGAAGGAATGTGATGACAAAGCCAGCTACCCCGTGAGTTCCTGTCATCCTTCCTGAGCTGGCGCTACCATCTTGTCCTGGTGTGTGTGTTCATGAGTGCGTGTGTGTGTGTGTGTGTGTGTGTATGTGTGTGTGTATACCCCAGTGCAGCCTGGTTCGTGTGGGCTGTGAGCTTGTTCTTCCTTTTTCTTGGCTTATGGAACTTGTGCTTATTCTTTGGGAACCTGTATCCAACATTGCCTCCTCCATGAAGCCTTCAAAAGCAGACTTGGCTGATGTTGCCACTAACTCTCGTTCTGAGCCTCTTCCCTTTCTTGGAGCAAGGATGGACCACCAACAGCTATGTTGTCTCTCCATCAGACTGTGAGCTCCAGGGACGAGGAGAAAAGTGAGATGCATCTCATCTTCAAAGCCTCACCTATACTTGACCTTGAAGAACTATAAAGGGCAAGTGGACTTGCTCAGTCCTAGTGTCACAGCTTGCATATGTCTGAAATTCAGTAATATTTGGCATGGACCCTGAAGGCCTTTTTACAGCATCATGGAGGTGAATAAGGTATGTCTTCTGGCAGTCTAGTAGATAGAGATCCTGTGTACTTGGCCATTAGTCTACCATGCCCTGGATGTCTTTTGGTTGGTATAGTGAAGTAACAATGTACAAATGGCTCTGTAAGAGGAACTGGACTCCAGAAGTGGTTCCTGTTGTGGGTATATTGTTCTCATCAGCCAAGATGGCGCAACAGAGAGTTTGGGCATTCACGTAATGGTGAAAGGCCACTCCTCCCAGACTGAAGAAGCTGAGATCCAGATTCTCTTCCATCATCCTAGGGCGGAAAAGCCCGTCTCCGGTTTCCCTCAGCCAGGGGACCAGAGCCAACACAGAGATCCTCTAACATACAGTTTTAGCCCAGTTCCGTTTGTCAGCATTTAGAATTCACGGTGTGCAGTCTGGGCATGGTGCTGGGGAACCTGGAGGGGGACCCGAGGGGGATGTTCACATTTGCCAACAGCTCTGTCTCCCGAACCTCATTGAAATGGCCAAGGCTTTCAAGCGATTTATGCAGACGAAGGAAGAATCCACGTGGGCAAAGAACATCCTGATTAAAAATCCAAACATTTTCTTGGTGAGACTTGTATGTGTCAGGACCATCTGTTAGTGGAATTAATAAACCCTGGGTGTTAATTTGTTAAAGAAAGAAAAAGCCAGCTATCTGGAAGCTAAAACAAAGATCCGAAAGCAATCTTGGATGGCCCAACAAAGGTGAAGAGCCTAATTAGCACAGGTTTGTTAGCCGAGGGATCTTTGGGACAATGATTATGGATTTATTTCTGATGAGGAGCTCGAGTTTCAGGGTACCAACCATTCGAAAACCCTCTCAGAATTTTATGTTGAGCTAGGCAATCTTGGGTTTTCTCATCACTCCTCTGGTGTAGGTCATAGAGATGATTCTGAGAGAGACATGTTCAGGAGAGAAGTGAGCTGTTCAAAACTGGAGAAGGGTAGCTGCCTCATGTCTCCCCTAAATATTTTTCTCCTCTGTCCTCACTTCAGTCTTCACAATCAGTGTAGCCTCTGAACTGCATTTCTGGCTTTCAGTATTTCCTCTCCGTTAAAGGCCCTATCTGCTTCTATCACCCGAAGGAATTCCTCCTTATCTTCAAATTAAACCTCTTGGAGAAAAAAAAAAAAAACTCCACTAAGGTTTGGCTTGTCAGCTTTCTGGAGAAATCGTGCAAAAACACAACCTCTATTCAGATCAACATCTTCATTGTTTCTCTGCCAGCACCATGAGGGCTCATCTCTTCATGATTCTGCTTAAGCTGTCTTTATTGGAAAAGAAAAAGGGAAAAACAACAACCAAAGACTTTCCCCATTTATTCTCCTCTTGATAACACTTTATCTTCTAAGAATCAGCTCTTTGCCAGGAAGAAATCTTCCCTCAATTTCTGGTTTGCACCAAATGTCCATTTATGTTACTCTGATACTTTTTTTTTTTAAACGTGTGTGTGTGTGTGTGTGTGTGTGCATACACACCCATCCTGGGACTTGAACTCAGGGCCTGGGTGCTGTCCCAGAGCTTTTGTCCTCAAGGCTAGCACTCTACCAGTTGAGCCACAGCTCCACTTCTGGCTTTTGGGTAAGTAAGTGGAGATAAGGAAAAGGAAGTGAGTTCATGATATGCATTTCAGATTAGAAAGCAATATTCCACTTAGATTCTGCAGAAGCAAGTTCTGTGAAATGCTTTCTCATTAAAGCTGCAGAGTTATCTACCTTCAAACACCAGAAAGATCTTGGAAGTTTGAATGTGAAGTTAATGACTTCAATAGAATGATCCTTCCTGCATAGGCTTGTAAGGTTCAGCAAATAAAAATAGAGGTGGACTAGTTAAATTTGAATTTCAGATAAATATTATATAGGACATATACTAAAAAATAGTATACATTAAAACATCTGAAATCTAGGTTTAAGTGAGTGTCCTTCGTTTGGAATCTTGGTCTTGCAAGAAAACTAGTTTGAAAAAAGAGCTAGCCACACTCATACACTGTGGTCAAAGAAAGGCAGCATCCCAATTAGACCTTTCAAAAAGAGAGAGAGAAAGGAAGAAAGGAAGAAAGAAAGAAAGAGAGAGAGAGAGAGAGGAGAGAGAATATCTCTAGCACCTGAGCTGTGTAGATCTTTCTGAAGGAATCCTGGAAGCTTAGCCTAGGGCCAGTTACTTTTTAATCTTAGTATATATTCTCCTTGGAACCTCCTTTCTTGTTTTACCAGCACATCTATTTACCTTTCATCTGCCTACCTATCAACCATCTCTCTCTCTCTCTCTCTTTCTCCATTTGCTGTTGTTTCTTCTATTACCTATTATCTATCTCCTATAATCTTCTACCTATCATCTTATCAACCATCTATATCTATCTGTCTGTCTGTCTGTCTGTCTCTCCATTTGCTGTTGTGTGTTTCTTCTATTACCTATTATCTATCTCCTATAATCTATCATCTATCTTCTACATCTATCATGTCTATTTGTTATCTTTTTGTCATATATCCATCATATGTATCTACTTACCATCTATCTTTTATCTTCTATTTGCCATCTATCTTCTATTGTCTATATTTTCTATCATCTGTTATCGATCATCTACTATCAATCAATTCTCTTCTATCATCTATATACCTATCTTTTATATGTAAACCTATCATCTATCTTCTGTCTTCTACCCATCTACTTATCATATATTTATCTATCATATATCTATTATCTTTCTATCTACTATATCTATCATCTATGATCTATCTATGTATCTATCAACTACCTTCTAACTATACATCCTATAGGTATGTATCTATATATCTATAAT